TTTTCAATGTATTTATTTCATTTGTAAAACNTTTTTAATTATTATAAAATTAGCTTGTTATACTTATCATCACTTACAGGTTTTGTAAAAACCTGTAAGTGATAATAACAAGTAAAATCATCATTAATTCCAACCCTACTCAAGATATGATACATAACTCTCCCCTTTATCAACCAGAAGTTAATAACATCACTCTCATGCAAAATTTCAGAAATTTTTGACAAAAAAATACAGAAGTTATTATGCTGCAAAGAGTGTGAACAAAATCATGCCCTACACACTAACATTCATACATACAGAAAAAAAGGTTCTTTTTTTGTATTTCTCGACGTTTCAAGATACTGAGTCTAAAATGTAAAAATCTTGGGAGCCAATTTTTGACCGATCGCCAAACTTTCCCTCTATTATATATGACAGAGCCAGGAATAAATTATAGAAATAAGTCTGACATATAATGAGGGAAGTTAACAATATCAGCAAAAATTCATTATACAAAAACTGTAGATTTGAGAGTTTTAATCAAGATGAGAAAAGATTAAATATTCTTGGCAAAAGTATCTGTAAATATACAAATTAATTTTGCAACACTATAATGAAACGCTGCCTCATTGTATCCACAATCAAAACAATTCACAGATACAAAAGCATTCAAAAACATTTAATTTATAAAACTAAAACATGAATTATTATCATATATACATTAATTAATAAGCACACAATATTTTATTCTTAGTTAATATATTTTTTTCATTTTTATTTTCTTTCTTTTATAACTAAGTTTATATATAAATTTGTTTTCAGTTCATATAATTTTACATAAGCAGGATCTTAGGAAACATCAATACTTCTAAGATTCAGATGACACATTAATCTAAACTAAAAAACCATCATTAATCTAAATCAGGAGTCACCAAACTACAGCCCGCAAACTTGATTTGGCCCGCGAGATCAGTTCATCCAGCCTGCTGCCGCATTGTGCCACAAATGAGCTAAAATATAACTATTTATATATAAATATAGATCGTAGATGAACTTACAATGTAGAAAAAGTTCAAATAAGTGTAAGTAAAAATGCTGTGGAAAATGTTTGGTGACCCCCCAATCTAAATCAATAAACTTACATTCTTTATCCAATTATTAAAGAAAATCCATTGACAGTAAGGATTCTTGGTAAAGTATAACAATAGAAAAAGACTGCCTTTTAAGTTTAATTCATTTTATTAAGTACATAGATTTTGTAGAGTAAATATACTGTCCAGTAACATGGAAGAAGAAGATTCCATGCTACTGGACTGTTTGGTTCCTGGTGATTGAACAAGACCAGATATGTGAAAACGTTCTTAATATTCTTCAATGTATATATATTTCTTAAAAATGAATTACAGTTCTTCCAAATATTTCTCATTCACTGCTTAGTGAATTTGTTGGAACATCTTGGTTTTAACAACAAAAGTTTGTTCACAATGGATACTGTAACAACTGAAACACAAAATCAGGAGAATGATGTCAGAAATAACATTTTTAGTTTAGTATCACAGATTTCTTTTTGATTAGATTGTTACTAGGGCTGAGACCTGAGTATCTCATTTTATTCCACAAAATAATTACTCACTTAAGCAAATCACTTGAGTGGCATCATCCCATCTCACCCAAAAGCACAAAAATTCAAAAAGATATCATGGGTGACAGCCTTTTGATCAAAGTTCTCATAGTAGGTTTCTTGCCTATGGCACCATGAATAATGCAGAACAGTACTACAATACTCTCAAATGACTATGTGAAGCCATCCAAAGCTGATTGACAATGCCCATCCTTACTTAGTATTGTAATCCAAACTTTGCTGCACAATTTTGGTAGTTTTCAATCATCCACTCCATAGTCCATCCTATAGTCTGTACCTTGCACCACACAATTTTTCATCTTTTTATAAAAATCAAAAACTTCCTGAGCAAAAAAANAGTTCTATTTAAAAATCCACTTAAAATTGTGGATATAAGCCGAAATGATTTAAAATAAGATTTTTTTTTTTTAATGTTACAATAAAACTTTATAAATAGAGTTTACAGAACTTTTTAATTTCAATATAGCATACTTAAATAACACTATTTTTTAAAATAAAGTATAATAAAATTGTTAAAACTAATGTTTTCGTCTACATATTATTTATAAAGTTATTTAGCATTGCATATACAATAAAAATCTAATATTTAATCAATGTTTTTTTTTTAATTTTAAAAAATATAATTTAAAAAATTCCTTATAATTAGTAAAACTTGGCACCATATACATTCTTCTTGTTAAGATTACCAAATATTTAATTTTCTTTAATTTTAAAATGCTTTCAGCTAAACTGTCTTACATTAGATATTCTAAGAACAGCCTACATCAGGGGTGGCCAATATACGGCCTGTCTAACGAATTTATGTGGCCCGCGATTAATCTTTCAATATTAGCTACTTAAGTCTGAACAGCTTGATGAAAATTCTGATGCCTAAAAACAAAAAAAGGGTCAACAACTCACTGTGTGTTTAGAGTTAAAGCTCCATTACAAATCTCTTAAGTACAGCATAGAATGTTGACAATGCATGATAGTGTGAAAAATGTATCTGTAATCTCTATGTACAATTTAGTCTCTGTGGGGTGACACCACAATGAGATCTCACACCACCTGAAAATCTTCCTGGGGCAGCCTCTGATTTGGCCTGTGAAAAAAGTTCTCTTTCCAATTTGGCCCGGGGGCAAAAACTGTTGGCCACCCCTGGTCTACATTATATAATTTTTTAAAAATTTTCTTTTTTTATATTAAAAATATCTGTAAAACATACCAAAATGTGTTATAAAAACTGATTATTCTATCAATTATGTAACCTATATTTTGATGTATATTTTTTTATACACTAAAGAAATAATTTTTTTTTCTCAACTCTTATTTTAACACTCCTCTATCCATTTCTTATATTTTGTATCCTTTACTTTATTTCCTATAATTTTTAAAATATTTCTATAATGTATTAAGCTTATTTTGGCTTTCGAATAATCAAAAGAATATACATAATTCATTTCAGGAATCATAATAGTACATAAGTTGCTGGATTTTCTGTTATTGATTATTCAGTAACGAAATGCTTAACTTTCCTGGCAACATTTAAAACTGCATATGACACTATCTGTTATGATATTTTATTTTTAAAACTTTTATATTTTTAATTATTATAAAATTAGCTTGTTATACTTATCATCACTTACAGGTTTTGTAAAAACCTGTAAGTGATAATAACAAGTAAAATCATCATTAATTCCAACCCTACTCAAGATATGATACATAACTCTCCCCTTTATCAACCAGAAGTTAATAACATCACTCTCATGCAAAATTTCAGAAATTTTTGACAAAAAAATACAGAAGTTATTATGCTGCAAAGAGTGTGAACAAAATCATGCCCTACACACTAACATTCATACATACAGAAAAAAAGGTTCTTTTTTTGTATTTCTCGACGTTTCAAGATACTGAGTCTAAAATGTAAAAATCTTGGGAGCCAATTTTTGACCGATCGCCAAACTTTCCCTCTATTATATATAACAGAGCCAGGAATAAATTATAGAAACAAGTCTGACATATAATGAGGGAAGTTAACAATATCAGCAAAAATTCATTATACAAAAACTGTAGATTTGAGAGTTTTAATCAAGATGAGAAAAGATTAAATATTCTTGGCAAAAGTATCTGTAAATATACAAATTAATTTTGCAACACTATAATGAAACGCTGCCTCATTGTATCCACAATCAAAACAATTCACAGATACAAAAGCATTCAAAAACATTTAATTTATAAAACTAAAACATGAATTATTATCATATATACATTAATTAATAAGCACACAATATTTTATTCTTAGTTAATATATTTTTTTCATTTTTATTTTCTTTCTTTTATAACTAAGTTTATATATAAATTTGTTTTCAGTTCATATAATTTTACATAAGCAGGATCTTAGGAAACATCAATACTTCTAAGATTCAGATGACACATTAATCTAAACTAAAAAACCATCATTAATCTAAATCAGGAGTCACCAAACTACAGCCCGCAAACTTGATTTGGCCCGCGAGATCAGTTCATCCAGCCTGCTGCCGCATTGTGCCACAAATGAGCTAAAATATAACTATTTATATATAAATATAGATCGTAGATGAACTTACAATGTAGAAAAAGTTCAAATAAGTGTAAGTAAAAATGCTGTGGAAAATGTTTGGTGACCCCCCAATCTAAATCAATAAACTTACATTCTTTATCCAATTATTAAAGAAAATCCATTGACAGTAAGGATTCTTGGTAAAGTATAACAATAGAAAAAGACTGCCTTTTAAGTTTAATTCATTTTATTAAGTACATAGATTTTGTAGAGTAAATATACTGTCCAGTAACATGGAAGAAGAAGATTCCATGCTACTGGACTGTTTGGTTCCTGGTGATTGAACAAGACCAGATATGTGAAAACGTTCTTAATATTCTTCAATGTATATATATTTCTTAAAAATGAATTACAGTTCTTCCAAATANCACCACTGATGAAATAAAATGATGTTTGTTTATTCTTTATTACAAGCCACGCATTTTTATGTATTCTAAGAAATTATATGTAAAAAAAATTTGCTCACAGGTGTTGATGTCTGTTTAATAACAATAATAATAGGTTAGTAGCACTCCATAGTCCATCCTATAGTCTGTACCTTGCACCACACAATTTTTCATCTTTTTATAAAAATCAAAAACTTCCTGAGCAAAAAAATTTTGAAAGTGATGATGATTTAAGACAATGGATCAACAGTTGGTTAAACAAACTGGGAGCAGACGAGTATATTAGGAAATTCATGGCTTGTGGATAGATACAATAAATGCTTAAATAAAGGAGTTAATTATATAAAGAAATAGACTAATGTATGTCATATTTAAAAGAATAAAAATTTTTTGAATACTTTTTCAAATTGCTTACAGCTAAATTGTCATTATTTTCTGGATGACCCTTGTAGTTACATATTGGTAGATTGTAGAGGGGCCTGAGTTAGAAATGTGCTTGAAATGAAATCCATCCCTGCATCTCTTGAATGGTCTTGTTACGCTTAGTCTACATATTAGAAAGTAAATTAATTCCAATAAAGTCAAAAATAAAAGTTTTGCCAAACAAAGTACAGTATGATAAATAATCTGACAAATCATTTGATAACACTAATGCATCAGAATGATGTATATATTAGTAGAAGTTTGATCATTAAGCTAATTTGCTTTATTCTAAATATGAAAATGAGAGAAAGCTCAGAGAAAAATACATTATTATATTGATAAAGCACTAGGTAATTAGATAACATAATAAATAAATAAATCTTTTAAAATACAGCAAAAATTTTTAATAAATTTTTCATAATAAATGTTTCGGCTACATCAATAGCCGTAGGTTTGAATATAGAGCACTGCTACAAGCATTATAGAATAAATTTAAATTTAAAATGACAAAATTTGTTAAAAATAAATTTAATTTAAAATAAAATATGATAAGATTAATGAATATAAAATTAATTGTGGCTTGTGATAAATGATATTTAAATATAATAAATATTAAGTTGCACAATGTTTATAAACACATGTCTTGCAAATGTAACAAAGCATTTAAGTTTGTTGTTATTTATATAAACTAGAGATGTGAGCATCATTCATGCATTGTATAGTATCTGCACCCCAAATGGTTTTAAGACAGATACCTTTAAGTCTGTGTTTATAAATTTGATGACCTCTATAAACATACTACAGACATTGTTTCTGTAATATGTCCAATGTCTCTGCTAAATCCAGTTTACAGAATGGCATGTAGCCATGGGCTTATTACATTGCAGTTTAAACTTCATTGCAAAGACACAAACTGTCAATTTTTTAACCCAGTCTAAACAAACTTTGGAGAAACTTTAGCTAATATATTTACTGCTGTTACTCCCAGCTTTTGAATATTGATGAATCAATCACATAAATCATTTCATTACATCACAAAAGTGAAAAAGCATACAAACATACTTTACCAGAAAAAAAAAACGCATTTTTGCTAAATTAATTTGGAAANAAAAAAAAAAAAAAAAAAAAAAAAAAAAAAAAAAAGAATAAATAGTTAAATATAATTCATAAATCAGAAATAGAGAGTTGTAACCAGAAGAAATTGTTACAGATTACATTTTATATTTTATCAAATAGAAAATTTAAAAAACTAGGATTTCTAAACTAGAAACAATAAATAATTGCCTTAATTTTGTTTTTATTCATATTTTGCACCTATAAAAGTAAAAATTAATTTAGGCTTTTATCAGGTTCACATTTGCTCTGAATTATAAAAATCACAATTTATTTAGTGATTTGGATTGTTTTCACTATTTTAATTTTATAGAGAGCTTATACAATGATTTCTCTATCAAATGAATATATATTCACATTGCATTCTAATAAAAGTTGACTTCTTAACTGATTTAGCATCCATCTCACTGTGTTATTGACTTTATGGAGTCATTGGAAGTAAAATAAAGTTTTAATCAATGAATATGTTTTACAATAAAAAACACACCTTCAACAATCCAGCAAATAAAATAAAACGTTTTAGATTGTTTTTAACCAATGTTCCTCAGTTACCATAAAACAGTACATTTTCTCGTATTTATTTATCCAGTATGTAGTACAATATATGAGAATATGTTTTAAATGTAATGTATTGTATTAAAAAATTGTGTGTGAAATTGATTAATGGCAAATGTGAAATGTGGCATCACAAGGATCATTCCCCTACTATCATCATATTGCATCATATTCTGAACTACTCTCTCCCCATAAGGCATAACATCATTTATGGATAGCCCCATCTACTATAATACTATATAACCAGAAAATATATTATTAATTAAATATAATCTCAGTTAATCAACTATATTCAACTGATCAAAAAATGTATCTAAATGTGTCTCTTTTTATCTCTTGTAACTAAAAGTTTCTCTCTTCTATTTATTGAAAAACATCAAATGTTGATGAGTTACTTAAATTCTGTAGTTAAATAAATTTCTAATGTAAAAAAACATTGAAAATTTAGGTAATACAGTACAAAATTTATTTGCTCATGCACTATATAGTTTAATACAGTTATCAATTGTGTTATAGTTTAATACAGTTATCAATTTCTGATTGCAGTGCAAAATGATGATTTTTGTCAAAAGTATCCAGAGAGTAAAGTTTCTAATAAGTGTTAAATAAACAAACTGGTGACAAAATTAACAGTTTCATTCACAACAAGAAATACAAAAGATCCACCAGAGTACTGTTTTATTATATTATTGTCAAGTAAGGACTAAGTCCTTACTTGACAATAATATAATAAAATAGTATAATATAAGGACATAAAGGCAATTGAATTAATCCATGAGACTACATTGCATTTTGTACTGTATATCTTGTAGTAATAACAAACAAACAGTAGTAATAAAGTATAGCTTAATTTTGCCTAGAGGTTGGTAAGGTTTTAGTCCTGTTCCGAGATAATTCTTTTCTTCCAGAACTTTCTAAATTAAATATTAGATATATTTATAATTTTGTATATCTTAATATTTATAAGCTAAATATCATTTGATTTTTCATATTTTTTACAGATGTATATATACAGTATATAAATAAAAAAAACCATGCCAGAATGAAAGTCAATTCCAACTGAATGCAATAGAGTGCAGTATAAAATATTCTGGTCAGCATGATTATAGTCATCAAAATGAAAGAAATGAGGTCAGCTAGAGTGAGTAACCTATACTGTTCACATAGGGATAAAGGGGTAAGAAAGATAAAAGGAGTATATGTCTGGCTGAGGGCCTGTGAGTAACATTAGAACTACTTCCTGTCACATGCTAAGTTACCCAATATGGTAGCAAGCAAGGGAAGACACTTCATTCTGATGCTTGAAAAATTGCTGAAAATGTGAGATGGCTTACTTTCTTTGCAAAATATCTACATCCATATTCCAACCATCAACACTAGGAATGTATCTACATCCCATACTGCCATCTTAATGTTATGATTAAATTTTTTTCTATTATAAAATAAAATAATAGAAAATAATATTTTATTTTATATTATTTATTCATTCCAGTATAAGTTCTTGTTTTTATTTATTTTTTTCTATTGCCATCAGATATCAGTCAATAAACTTGAGGATTAACTAAATCTTCCCACAACTGATTACCTGTATATACTAATAAATAACACCAACAAAACCCTCAAAAATATACCAGAAAATATAATTTAATATAAATATGCTACAACAAACATTTTCAATCTGAATAGGATCTGCTTTGGGTCAAAGTGTTCAATAGAATTAAAAAGCTAAAATATCAAATTTAAATTTTTAAAATTGCTGGAACAATTGAATATTAGAACAAGTATAAAAATCACATCTATGCATTAACAATAACAATAAAAATTTAACAAATATATTTGAGATTTGGGATTAATTAATAAGGGAATTAATTGATTTTTATTTCTTATTAATGTTGTCAGAATCATCAAAAATTTTTATATTAATTTCTCGAAAATCGAAAACATTTGTCGTAGCATATTTATATTAAATTATATCTGCTGATATATTTTAAGGTTTTGTTGGTGTTATTAAACTTGGAGATAAACTTTTTCTTCATTTACACAGATTTAAAGCTATTTGTAAATAATACTCTATTTTAACTAATCTTACTGGTTACAGGTGGCATTTAGTATTGTTTTATCTGTTATATTTTAACGGGTATGTTATTTACTTGTTGCATAGGGAGGCTGCACATATTACCTATGAAATATCACCTGTATCATCAATAAATAAAATAAATAAATATTTTGAAAGGAGAAAGCAGCATATTCCCCTTTCCTCTCTACTACATGAACAATATAAATTACCTACACTAGCTGATCTCATTTCTCTTCTTTAAATTGGATGACTATAGTGATTTATATGATTATATGGTAGTCTAAATCAGTGTTCCGCAACCGGTGTGCCGCAGCACACTGATGTGCCGTCACATGATGAAAGGTGTGACGTGAACTTTTACATATTTTGTTAATTTAAAATTTTATTTATATATTTTTATCACAGTTGTTGTGTTTCTTATACTTGTATTTCATTCTCTGCCGCAGTACTGATGAAATAAGATGATGTTTGTTTATTCTTTATTACAAGCCACGCATTTTTATGTATTCTAAGAAATTATATGTAAAAAAAATTTGCTCACAGGTGTTGATGTCTGTTTAATAACAATAATAATAGGTTAGTAGCATTACGTAATTTTATTAATAGTATCATATCATACGTTTTTGAGGGAAATAACATTTTGGTGTGCCGTGGTGAAGTCATGGGTGTGCCGCAAGTAGAAAAAGGTTGCGGAACACTAGTCTAAATTACATATGTTTGAAAGTAAAGATTGATCTGAATGAATAATTGATAGTTGGTATGCCCAGTATGCATAAGGTGTATCATTCAAATCCCATTCTAGCTCAATCATTTATATCAGACAGCCTGATTTAATTTATTACTCTATTTTAATTATTAAATATACAAGGTAGGAACATTGCCTATCTCTAGTATCAAATTATAAAAGTAAGTAAAAAATCTTCAGATAATAGAGAGGTTGCGGCTGACGTTTTCAGTGCGAAAACATGTATGTCGGACGTTCAGTGCCGCCTTCCGGTAAGCCTAGAAGTTTGACAATGGTGTTTGGAACATCGAGCATGATTCCACTGACATTCCAAATGCCATTGTCAAACTTCTAGGCTTACCGGAAGGTGGCGCCGAACGTCCAACGTACGTTTTCGCAATGAAAACGTTGGTCACAACCTCAGATATGAGAGAGGTCTCATATCTTTAAAATTTTGATATTTAATTTTCTCTTTTTTACTTTATTTTTTTGCTCTTCCACTAGACACTGAGAGGATCCTTTATCCATACCCATTGTTTGGCTAAATCCACAATGGAAATAATCAGGTAGTGAAGAATGGGGCCTAGCACATCCAAGACAAACAATCCACAAAAAAGTCTTGAGGGTTTTTTGACCATCTGAATTCACTCCCAGATTGCTCAAAGCAATAGGTTAACATCTTAACTGCCTCATCTTAACATCCTGCTGTCCACATTTGATTTACATTTATATACTAGGTAGAATTTTTGTTAAACATTTTATATCTATATTTTATTTTTGATTATATAAAGTTACTTTTGAAGTAAATCTTTGTAATATCACTATCTTAATAAAGTAAATAAGAATTTTTTAAAATTTCTTTAACAGATCATAAATTTTAAAAGTTATGTATTTATCATCAGGTTTCTAATGCATGAAAACCTGATGATAACTGTTAAAAACGGAATAAAATGTTCATTGTATAGAGAATTATTGCAGGTTTTAGGTAATTAATTATTTATTTATTGAATTCTACACCAGTAATATCATGAAGATTGTAAAAGATCAAAAATGCAGAAAACCAGAAAAAAGAATTTATAAAATTTTTCATAACCAGAATAATTTATATTTATGAAAAGATTTAGATTTAAAATTTCTATAAAGTCAGATTGAAAACATGTTTATATTATTTAAGTTGTAACACAAAACAAAGAACATTTTTAAATATGTTTATATACTTTTATGTGTAAATATAAAAATCTATTCATAATTATTTATAGTTGGCAGGTGTGAAATGTCACACAAAATATAATTTATTCTTACAAAAATAACAATGATGGAATTAATAGGTTGAACAAATCAATCTTACATTCTAAGTCTAAATGCATATTAAAAACATATTTAAAAAAGTAAGAATCTAATTTTTATTAAAGTAAATATGTAGATCAAATCATGCTTTGCACATTCATTCAACCTCATATTAATTCTACTTTCAATTATCTTTATATAAAAGATAGAGGTTAATCCTGATAAGTAAAGCAAATCAACTAAACAAAGCAAAAAAAATTTTTTTTTGCTTCTTACAGATTTAAGACTTTAATTAACAGGCATTTTCATTAATAATTAAAAAGTAATATGACATAAAACTAATGTTACAAATATTTCACAAAACATTTCGCCAAAAGACTAAATTTTAATTCATTGAAAATTCTCTATAAACTTACAATTAGAAAAACTAATAACAAAAGTTATATTTTTTGCATTAATTGATAGAAAATTAAAAGGAAATACTTTAATTTTTATAAAAGAAAATTTATATTTACTTATTTCTGATAAAACTGGACTTTTATTCGTGTTATTACAAACATCTGTATAACAATGATCATGAATAAATACAAAATTTTCATTAAAATTATTAATAAAACTATATAGATATTTTAAATAGATAACTTTCACAAACAGTTTAGATAAAATTAAGGTAATTGATTATCATCCATAAAATATCTTTTCCGGTTATTGCATAATATTTGTTAAACGACATTACTGCACCTTGTAAAACAATTTGTATTAAGTGTTTTACCTGACAGATATCACATTTAAAGATTAGATTGCTAATCAATAAATATACCCATCCTTTTCTATTATGAAAATACGAAAACTTTATTTTTTCATAACAAAAATACTTCTTTGTATAAAACTTGAAAAACTTTTTCTTTCCGTCAATTTGACATTTACCTCACTTCGTTAAGAACTAACTTATATATAAATGCATTTGGTATTTAAATTTTAGAAATTCTGTGAAACTGTTTAAAAATCATTAACATTTAACTCGACATTTTTATAAAAGGGTAATTCGTATATTTTATATTCTACAATGACGATATTACTATTCTTTCTTGTAATTTTTTTAAAAAACAAACAAATAATCAAAGTTGTAATAAAAAAATTAAGTAATTTAACAAGAAATTTGCCATTTATTTAATAACAAAACAGTAATTTAACTTAATTTACTACAGTCGACCCCCTACCTGTTGATTTTTCCATTTTATATGAATTCCATGTTGTACGAGTCACTTAGATTTTACAAATTCGTGAGCCGTTCACCGCCCGGCACACGTATTTGTAAAATCTAAGTGACTCGTACAACATGGAATTCATATAAAATGGAAAAATCAAGTGTTATAGGGGGGTCGACTGTACACAATAATGAAGGGGTGTAAATAGCAACTTTTAATCAAAACTGTATGTAAATTAAAGCAATTTAAACAGACTTTTACTGATGAACAGTTCAATAAATATATAAATAATTGCATGAAATTATAAAATGTCTTTAATATAATTTATTTATATAATAATTAACTTAAAATATAAATAATACATTTATTTATTATTTTATAATTTAACCATCAACTATAAAACACAAATCAAAGATAAACATTGATAATAAATATTGAAAATTGATATATTTATAAATAAAATGTATGTTTAAGTATTTATATATAAAGATAGGAACAGAAATCAGTCAAAATTTATATAAATTTTGAGTTTTTTGTATATTAAAATCTTAAAAAAGTACTATTTTGACAGAGGATTTTTGAAACGATTACGTGATTATATTCTACGAATATATTGTCACCTTTTAAGTATAAGTATTCCTGGTGTCGAATTTAATGGGCACCACAACTCCCGCAGATAACTTCATTTTCTTTTTACATTTTTCGGTCTTTCCATCCTCGCGCCACAAAACAACCCCATCACCAACAGCACGCAACAAAAGTTAATAGAGGGAGCTACTATAGTAATAAAAACCGAAACTATGGAATAAATATATTCTGTATATATTCATTTATTATTATTTTCTCCTCTTGTTAATTTTAAAAAATTATTTTATATATTTTAATTAATAATACTAATATTATTATTATTATTAGATCAAATCAACGTATCGTTTTCGTATTTTAAACCATTCGATACTGATCATTCATGATCGGATGGCCGAGCGGTTAAGGTGGCAGCTTACCGCTCTGGGGGACCAGAGAGCGAATCCGATCGGGCCAAGGAATCCCCAGGAATTTTTCGGGGGTGGTCCGTTCGGATATGTCGGGCCCCGTCCCTCACCACCCGGTCGCACCATTGTGGGTCTGGCCGAACCTATAATGGGCCTGCTATAAGAGGCCCTCCTAGTTCCCACAGGGCGGAAAGAGTATTAAAAATATATATATATATATATATCAATTTATTCATTTGTGTGATATATTATGCATTAATCCGGTTAATTATGTTAGAAAATAATACAAAAATCGATTGGGATAACTGTTTATAAACAGAAAATATTTAATTATTTGTTAAAAATTAAATATAATTATTGAGATTTTTCGATACAGTCCGTATTCGTTCTCGGATCCCAAAAGCGGTAGGCTGTCACCTTTAACATCTCGGCCATTTGGCTGCTGTAAAAACAGCATTATACGAATAAGAACTACCAAAGACCCTAAGTTACCTTCGGGCCCGAGGAAAATTCTCTGCTCTCCGCTCCCGACAGACCTGCAGATCGTCCATAAACAATTCCTAGAGTTCTTGATCTGAACTCGGAGCTTTGTTCCTCAAATGGATCGTCTTGGCCATCCCGCCGTTATGGGAGGATCAGTAGCGTAGCGTAGTGGGGGCGGCAGGGGCGGCTGACACCCATGCTACACCACTGGGTAAAATGTATTAATTAATGTAATATATCACCACTTATCTAATAACTTCCTTCTAGAAATCAAAGCTAACTTCAGTTTCTCAACGATACTTGAAATCTTCGAGCGTAATGAAAGATCAGATAGCATTTAACACCTTCAGCTAACTTAAGTTTGATGATTTCCAAATACTTGCAATAAAACATGCGGATTCGATTTCGGACCGACAAACCGAAACAAGCTCCGAGGATAATATTAAAAAATCTGTTTCTTCACATAAATACAGTAGATGTTATAATTGTTGTATTCTTACACGAAGCCGATTACGCTGTTCGACCGGGACTTAACGGCCAAACAGCGTAATCTGACCAAAATTGACATTAGCAGTTATATTAATTTAATAGAAACAATGAATAAGTTTGAAAGAACAAAACAGACAGTTGGTTTAAAAAAAAAAAAAGATATCATTAAATTATAATGGATGTGATATTTTCGTACGATATTCTATAAAGAATTTTAATTACACTATGAAGGATTCTATCAATTTATTCAGGATTCGATAACATCTCGAATCAGCATCGTACGGCTAATTAACGTATTTGTACTATTTCATGCCCTGTACGATGTATGATAATTTCAGAAATACGCGTTACTCCCAAATAACCGTTAATTATTGAAAAAATCCAATTCGTAATCACCTTTTCTGTACCTACTGCACGTCAACATCAAACGTAGAAGGTACTGTAGCCTTATATACGCCATTCAGAGGGATCCTACCTTTCTCTACTGTCTATCTCCTCTCCCTATTTCTTCCCCTCCCCTTTCCCTTACTCTCTTTTCTGCCGGCTAAACACTACGTGTACGGCCGATGTCTTTCTTGTATGTATGTATGTATGTAGTACTGTACCTATCGCCTTCTCATTGATATTTCGTGTCTTTTTCTCCGCTAGAGAACTATTATTCGGAAGTTTTTACTTGTTAAATTACTTACTACTGTATACTTTCGATTTATAAAGCGCATATTTTTCTTACTTTTCGAGACTGCTAACTGCTATACTTTTAAACCTATAAAATGCTCAAATTGTTGTGCAAAGACAATTTCTACGAGTAAACGTTCTGTCAACATGCCATTATGCTTCTACCTGTACAAAACATAGCTACTATATTAATACATTTTATTGCGGAGTAGTCTAGAACAGAAGCATTTTTGACATAGATCTATGTTTAAATTGTATGATAAAGGTAAATTTTAGATCAGGGGTGTCCAACCCGCGGCCCGGGGGCCGCATGCGGCCCAATAAACGTGTAAACAAAACCGACAGATTTTATTTTATTTTATTTTTTGCTCTGAATTATAAAAATCACAATTTATTTAGTGATTTGGATTGTTTTCACTATTTTAATTTTATAGAGAGCTTATACAATGATTTCTCTATCAAATGAATATATATTCACATTGCATTCTAATAAAAGTTGACTTCTTAACTGATTTAGCATCCATCTCACTGTGTTATTGACTTTATGGAGTCATTGGAAGTAAAATAAAGTTTTAATCAATGAATATGTTTTACAGTAAAAAACACACCTTCAACAATCCAGCAAATAAAATAAAACGTTTTAGATTGTTTTTAACCAATGTTCCTCAGTTACCATAAAACAGTACATTTTCTCGTATTTATTTATCCAGTATGTAGTACAATATATGAGAATATGTTTTAAATGTAATGTATTGTATTAAAAAATTGTGTGTGAAATTGATTAATGGCAAATGTGAAATGTGGCATCACAAGGATCATTCCCCTACTATCATCATATTGCATCATATTCTGAACTACTCTCTCCCCATAAGGCATAACATCATTTATGGATAGCCCCATCTACTATAATACTATATAACCAGAAAATATATTATTAATTAAATATAATCTCAGTTAATCAACTATATTCAACTGATCAAAAAATGTATCTAAATGTGTCTCTTTTTATCTCTTGTAACTAAAAGTTTCTCTCTTCTATTTATTGAAAAACATCAAATGTTGATGAGTTACTTAAATTCTGTAGTTAAATAAATTTCTAATGTAAAAAAACATTGAAAATTTAGGTAATACAGTACAAAATTTATTTGCTCATGCACTATATAGTTTAATACAGTTATCAATTGTGTTATAGTTTAATACAGTTATCAATTTCTGATTGCAGTGCAAAATGATGATTTTTGTCAAAAGTATCCAGAGAGTAAAGTTTCTAATAAGTGTTAAATAAACAAACTGGTGACAAAATTAACAGTTTCATTCACAACAAGAAATACAAAAGATCCACCAGAGTACTGTTTTATTATATTATTGTCAAGTAAGGACTAAGTCCTTACTTGACAATAATATAATAAAATAGTATAATATAAGGACATAAAGGCAATTGAATTAATCCATGAGACTACATTGCATTTTGTACTGTATATCTTGTAGTAATAACAAACAAACAGTAGTAATAAAGTATAGCTTAATTTTGCCTAGAGGTTGGTAAGGTTTTAGTCCTGTTCCGAGATAATTCTTTTCTTCCAGAACTTTCTAAATTAAATATTAGATATATTTATAATTTTGTATATCTTAATATTTATAAGCTAAATATCATTTGATTTTTCATATTTTTTACAGATGTATATATACAGTATATAAATAAAAAAAACCATGCCAGAATGAAAGTCAATTCCAACTGAATGCAATAGAGTGCAGTATAAAATATTCTGGTCAGCATGATTATAGTCATCAAAATGAAAGAAATGAGGTCAGCTAGAGTGAGTAACCTATACTGTTCACATAGGGATAAAGGGGTAAGAAAGATAAAAGGAGTATATGTCTGGCTGAGGGCCTGTGAGTAACATTAGAACTACTTCCTGTCACATGCTAAGTTACCCAATATGGTAGCAAGCAAGGGAAGACACTTCATTCTGATGCTTGAAAAATTGCTGAAAATGTGAGATGGCTTACTTTCTTTGCAAAATATCTACATCCATATTCCAACCATCAACACTAGGAATGTATCTACATCCCATACTGCCATCTTAATGTTATGATTAAATTTTTTTCTATTATAAAATAAAATAATAGAAAATAATATTTTATTTTATATTATTTATTCATTCCAGTATAAGTTCTTGTTTTTATTTATTTTTTTCTATTGCCATCAGATATCAGTCAATAAACTTGAGGATTAACTAAATCTTCCCACAACTGATTACCTGTATATACTAATAAATAACACCAACAAAACCCTCAAAAATATACCAGAAAATATAATTTAATATAAATATGCTACAACAAACATTTTCAATCTGAATAGGATCTGCTTTGGGTCAAAGTGTTCAATAGAATTAAAAAGCTAAAATATCAAATTTAAATTTTTAAAATTGCTGGAACAATTGAATATTAGAACAAGTATAAAAATCACATCTATGCATTAACAATAACAATAAAAATTTAACAAATATATTTGAGATTTGGGATTAATTAATAAGGGAATTAATTGATTTTTATTTCTTATTAATGTTGTCAGAATCATCAAAAATTTTTATATTAATTTCTCGAAAATCGAAAACATTTGTCGTAGCATATTTATATTAAATTATATCTGCTGATATATTTTAAGGTTTTGTTGGTGTTATTAAACTTGGAGATAAACTTTTTCTTCATTTACACAGATTTAAAGCTATTTGTAAATAATACTCTATTTTAACTAATCTTACTGGTTACAGGTGGCATTTAGTATTGTTTTATCTGTTATATTTTAACGGGTATGTTATTTACTTGTTGCATAGGGAGGCTGCACATATTACCTATGAAATATCACCTGTATCATCAATAAATAAAATAAATAAATATTTTGAAAGGAGAAAGCAGCATATTCCCCTTTCCTCTCTACTACATGAACAATATAAATTACCTACACTAGCTGATCTCATTTCTCTTCTTTAAATTGGATGACTATAGTGATTTATATGATTATATGGTAGTCTAAATCAGTGTTCCGCAACCGGTGTGCCGCAGCACACTGATGTGCCGTCACATGATGAAAGGTGTGACGTGAACTTTTACATATTTTGTTAATTTAAAATTTTA